GCGTTGACCCCAATTCAGACCCATAAAGAAAAAGAGAAGACCACAGTCTGATATAAAGCATGCCTTCATCAAAGAGGATGTGGCGAAACTTTTTAAAATCGGATTCATCAGGGAGGTAATGTATCCCTAATGGCTAGCTAACGTAGTGGTAGTGCCAAAAAAGGTGATAAGCTAAGGATGTGCGTAGACTATAAAGACTTGAACAAAGCATGCCCAAATGATTCCTTCCCTTTTCCTAATATCGATCGCCTGATCGATGCTACGGACGGTCACGAGACCCTCACTTTCCTCGATGCCTACTCGGGGTACAATCAAATCTAGATGAACCCCGAGGATAGGGAAAAGACCTCATTTATCACGAAATACGGTACATATTGTTATAACGTAATGCCCTTCAAGCTAAAAAATGTGGGAGCAACATACCAACGGCTAGCTAATAAAATGTCCGAGCACCAAGTAGGAAAATCAATAGAGGGATATATTAATGATATGCTAGTCGAATCCCTACGCGCAGAGGACCATCTGACCCATTTGCAGGAAACCTTCGACATCCTCAGAAGCTACAACATGAAGCACAATCTTGAGAAGTGCGCCTTCGGAGTAGGCTCAAGCAAATTCCTGGGCTTCATGGTATCAAACAGGGGGATCGAAATCAATCCCGACAAAATAAAGGACATCAAAGAGATTACGGTGGTGAACAATGTAAAAGTCGTTCAACGACTGACAGGGCGGATCTCGACCCTAGGCAGATTCTTATCGAGATCATCAGACAAAAGCCACCATTTCTTTGCCCTACTCAAAAGAAAGAACAACTTCGAATGGACTCCAGAATGCCAACACGCCCTGGAAGAACTGAAATGGTACCTGTCTAGCCCGCCTTTACTGCACATGCCCAAGGAGGATGAAATGCTATACATATACCTAGTAGTATCCAAAATAGCGGTAAGCAGTGTACTGATCCAAGAAGAGCAAGGTACGCAATTTCCTTTTATTATGTGAGCCGAACCTTGGGGAACGCCGAAACCCGGTACCCCTATCTGGAAAAATTGGCTCTCGCATTAATAAGAGCCTCGCGCAAAGTGAAACCTTACTTTCAGTGCCATCGTATCTGCGTCCTGTCTACTTATCCTCTCCGGAGTGTACTGTATAAACCTGAGTTATCGAGTCGATTGGCCAAGTAGGCCATCAAACTCGGAGGGTAGGACATCTAGTATCAACTTCGGACGGCCATCAAGTCCCAAATCCTAGCGGATTTCATGGCCGACTTCTCGTCAACCCTCGTACCTGAGGTAGAGAAAGAGCTTTTATTAAAATCAGGCACATCCTCCGGGGTATGGACCTTGCTCACAGATGGCATGACAAAAGTAAGAGGATCCTGACTCGGTATAGTCCTAAAGCCGCCCGTCGGCAACATAATCAGGCAATCCATAAAAAATACAAAACTAACAAGCAATGAAGCCGAGTATGAGGCTATGATTGCAGGTTTAGAGTTGTCCAAAAGTTTGGGAGCCGAGTCGAGGCGAAATGCGACTCGCTCCTCGTGGTAAGCCAAGTAAATGGAAGCTACGAAGCCCGAGAAGACAGGATGCAAAGGTATTTTGACAAAATCCAAATCGCATTATGTCGCTTCAAATAATGGACATTAGTCCATGAACCTCGAGAGCAAAATTACGAGGACGATTCCCTCGCGAACCTAGGATCTTCCGCGGAAGAAGAAGACATGCTCCCCATAACCATTGTCCAACTGTTCAATTCTGTGGTCGAGAAAGGTCACGCGGAAATTAACTCCACCAACCTGGCATAGGATTGGAGAAATAAATACATCGTTTATCTAAAGGACGGGAAGCTACCCATGGATCCAAAATAATCGAGGGCCCTGCGAACCAAAGCGGCCCGGTTCTCACACGACAAAAATGGGGCTCTCTACAGGAGAACATTTGATGGTTCCCTGGCGATATGTTTGGGACCAAGCGACATGGATTACGTGCTTTGGGAGATCCATGAGGGCTCCTACAGAAATCACTTCGGGGCCAATTCCTTAGTCCAAAAAGTGATCAGAGCGGACTACTATTGGGACAACATGGAAAAAGATGCCAGCGAATTCGTCCGAAAATGCGACAAGTGTCAGAGGTTCGCTCCCATGATCCACCAACTAGGGGAGTAACTGCATTCCGTTTTATGAACATGGCCTTCATGAAGTGGGGGATGGACATTGTCGGCCCTTTGCCGACGGCGCCAGGTAAGGCCAAAATCATTTTATTTATGACTGATTATTTCTCAAAATGGGTGGAAGCGCAGGCCTTTGAGAAAATAAGAGAGAAGGAAGTCATCAATTTTATATGGGAACACATCATATGCCGGTTCAGGATCCCGTCCGAAATAACATGCGACAACAGGAGGCAGTTCATCGGGAGCAAGGTAACACAGTTTCTCAAAAACAACAAAATCAAGAGAATCCTGTCGATGCCATACCAGCCGTGTGCGAACGGACAAGCCGAATTTACAAATAAAACCATAATTCAAAACTTGGAAAAGACGTTGGAAAGCGCCAAGGGAAAATGGAGTGAAACGCTGCCCGAGGTGTTGTGGGCATATCGAACAACTCCAAAATCGAGCACCGGGGAGACACCTTTCTTCCTAGTGTATGGCACTGAGGCACTGATACTGGTGGAGACTGGGGAACCAAGCGCCAAATTCCGACACACTAGCGAGGGATCAAACAACAAAGCCATGACAACGACCCTCGAGCTCCTCGACGAAAAATGGGAAGCCTCGCTGGTTCGGATGGCTGCCCAGAAGCAGAAAATCGAAAGATACTACAACAGAAGAACGAATCTCCGATACTTCGGAATCGGAGACTTGGTCCTAAGGAAGGTTACCCTCAACACCAGAAACCCTAATGAAGGGAAGCTGGGCTAAAATTGGGAAGGGTCGTACCGTATCCTTGGGATAGTTGGCAAAGGATCCTATAAGCTTGGTTCCATGAAGGGCGAGCAGCTTCCTAGTAACTGGAATGTATCGATGCTTAAGCGGTATTACTGCTAGGGCGGCCGGATGTGGAACCCCACACATATCCTCGAGTAAACATCGCACTCTTTCGACCGGGTTTTTTATCCCGAAACGGGTTTTTGCCAGCAAGGTTTTTAACGAGACGACGTCCATACATATCCTAAGAAGGATTCGAAGGGAACAACGTATCGGGTTGAATGGCCAAAGGAGCCACACCCGCGCGGGCCGAACTTGCAAAAAAAACAACAGAATGTATTTATTCCAAGCAATAAAGAATATCTTTCGGCATCTCGTACTCCAAAAAAGGGGATTTCAACATGCCCATAGTGAAGGACTCTCCACAAACGCATCCTGAGATACTCAGAGACTTAGCATCAGCAATTCAGCACCCACACGACCCCAGGGTCAGAACTCAGGGTTCATAAAGCCCCTACAAGGCAACTCCGAGCTCACAAAAAGCGGTCTTCAAGCTTAAACAAACTTGATGACTTGGAGACTGTCATTAATCGTCATGCGCAGGATAACCCGAAATTGTAAGACCCCTAGCGGGCAAACTCGGCGTAATCAGATCTATTCTACATTACAACAAATACTATAAGACCTCAACAAGCATGACAAAATGTAAGACCTCAATAGGCATGACAAACTATAAGACCTCAATAGGCATGAAAATCCCAAAGTTTAGGCTATATGTCACATTTGTAAGAGTCTCGAAAGGGCATACCTTCGGTGTAGACGCCTGAACTATCACTCGGGATAAAAAATAGCTCCGTCCAAACACATATGACTACGATCAAAATGGCTAATACAGCCAAACTAATGAGACTCGGGGACGCCCGACCGTTGCTAAACAAAAATCGGAGGCCACTACTTCGAATATACTTCAGAAAGAACCGGTTAAAAAGGCTTCCCTCAACAGGCAAAAATGAGCTTCGACCATATCAGCTCCAAATCACAAGGCTTCGACCTACTCAGCCTACGAGCTATGAATCTTCCGAGGTGTCAAACATCGCTGATAACGACTTGAAATCAATGTTCTTCCAGAACCGAACACGGGTCAGGCAAAATTATTTCAAAGGACCATAACGAGCGGAAAACAAAGCCTACAAAAAGTCCATGGGAAAAATAGCGTAAGAGCCATTGTTGCCAGCCAAACGAGCCTCCGGGCCGCACATTGAAAGGTCTCTACACTAAACAGCATAAGAGCCATTATCACCATCTTAAAAATTGACAACTTGAGGATTAAAATGAGCTCGAATCATAACCCGATTCAGAGACCGGATCCAATATAGTTAACTATGCAAGCCTCCGGGCCACAAATTGAAAGGTCTCAACGACCAAAACAGTGTAAGAGGCACTTTCGCCGGTCTGAAAATGCTTAAGGGTCAATTAAAACTCGAATCGCAATGTGACTCAGAGACTGGACCCGAAATATTTAAACTGAAACATGCCTAAGGGCACGGCATAAATGCCACTATCGACCAGCCGAGTGAGCCTCTAGACCACGCGCATGTAAGGTCATTTCAACCCAAAACACAAAAGGCCATCGTTGCCCGCCCATGCAGGCAAGAAAGAACTTTAGGGTCAATTAAAGCTCGAATCGCAATGTGACTCGGAGACTGGACCCAAAATAGTTGAAATAGCGACATGCCCAAGGTCAAAAGATAAGAACCGTCATCACCCCACCACACGGGCACGGGAGAGCAGAAATCAACAAGGCTCGGGACAACCCCGACCCAGAAACCCAACGTAAGACGGCGGGGCAAAAGCGTGAGACCCCTCATGACGGTTCACGTCGGAGGCCGCATCAACCAGCCACACGACAATTCCCGAGCTAGCCCGAAAGGGCCACAAGGCTATATTGTAGGTATAAGGTTTTTTTTTGCCAATCGTTACTGAATTCAAAACAGAAAGGGAATAAGGGAAATAGAGTCACAAAATTCTCCTTTTACATATGCCAAAATAAAAGTACTATACAACAAACAGGGAAATCAATAGAACAAAATAGCATATCCTAATCTATAGCCGAATCGACAGCCTCAAAGGTTGCATCTAGGTGATTACAAATCCCCCAATGGCCCCTTCTCGACGGCGTCCCCCCTTTTCGGGGATCCACCCCCATTTTTAACCCCGCTCGAACTGCCTTCCAATACGCCCTCGACGATCAGCCCTAGAGAACCCGTCCATGTGTGATCCATGGTTCGAGGTAAAATTGGGCCAGCCCCCTCGAACACCCTCTCAGCACAGGAATCTATGACAATTGTTCCTCCCCCATGAGAAGATACAAGCACCTCAGCCTCAACTTTGATCCGGAGCAATGCAGCCACCAACTCGAAATGAAGGCTCTTATACTTGCCGTTATCCTTCTTCGCGCCCAGGAGCTGATGCTCAATCAAGGCAACTCTCTCCCTGAGTTTGTCCCTTTTAGAAGACACCTCGCTCATATGCTGGCTAAGCTCAAAGATTTCAGCATCCCTGGCTCGAAACTCCCCTCTCAGCAGGGCATTTTCCTTCTCAAACTACATAGATCGGGGCACGAAGAGTTAAAAGCGACGAAATTTTGCAATGGCTCAAATGATAGCGAAAACAAGGGATAGATAACTTGTTCAGTGAAAAAGGATTTCTTATGCTCACGATGATTCACCTCGTCCTGATACTGGGTGAGGGACTGGTTATATAGCGCAGCGGCCTAAAACTGCATAAAAATGTTAAGAGGATAAAGGATGGAGCAACCCGAAACAACAAACAAGGCTAGATGAACTTACCCACTCACAAAGCCTGCCCATCTCGCCAAAAATAAAGGAGGCGTTAACCTCGGAATTACCCTCAAGAATTATCACCGGCCTCCCGAGTGTGTCTATGCCTTTGATTAGTGCTCCCGCCATGAAAGGCTCCTTGCGAGACTCCTCTTGCATTCCGGAAGATGGAAGGATCTCCCCCTTGGAGAATCAACGATATCCAACGGGCCAACGGGGTTAACATGAATCTCCATCCTCTGTTCATCATGGGTCCCAGCTCGAGGTCCCTCAAACTTCCTGTCAAGGGTGTCCCGGATCGGGGAGAACTCCGGCCACCTGTCAATTCAAGGTCAGTGCTTGATACCCCATCCACTGCCTCATCACCACGAATCTGAACCGTGCCAGCATCAGACTCTTGTACGGAAGCATCTATTCCCACGGTCTAGGGATCAATCAACCCCAAACACTATTCGAAGGGTGCCGAGAAGCTGTTTTCTCCCTCACATTCAGCACGAGGATTTCCCATCGCCCCAGATACCGAAGCCAATGGGTCAACCTTTGAATCGTCCACTCTATTCCTCTTGTGTTCCGGTGGCTCAACCGATAGGCTCTCCTGCCTCTTCCTCTCCTCATCATGCATCAGAGTGACCCCTCTGACACACGGCACCTCCCTCATCAGAAAGATTCCTCCCAGACCTGCATAGATGTAGATGTTAAAATGCACGGTATAGAGAAAGCTACTAACAACAAGCTACATCAAAATGCATGGATACATCAAGACTCAAGACTTACTAGGGCCTCCGGCCTCCCACCGAGCCCGGGATAAATCCCGCCATGTTTGATCGGTATACGGGCAGATTGAGTGCAAACGACTGACCCAACCCTGAAGGTTTGGCACCGCGCCAGGGTAGATCGCTGCGACTAAAAAGACAAGAAAGCAAAGTTAGATGTATAAAGAAAAATTACCAAGAAAGGGCAAGGGCACCACGTCTACTTATGCCCAACGTTGCACTTCTTAGGGAATGACATCTTTTCTGCTAGAATCAGATCAGACATCCTCACTCAGATGAATCGGCTTATTCACCCATCATCGCCGAACTCCTCGGGGGTAAAAAGGAGCCTTCGAGGCTTTGCAACGAAGCTTGACTAAGCCTCCACGAAACAAATAAGGGTTGTACATCCGGATCAAATGGTTCAGCGTGAAGGACATTCCATCAATCATGCTTGTATAATGCCTGATCATAAAAACCACACGCCAGAACAAAGGGTGGACTTGACATAGAGTCACCTGGTAAATCCAGAAGAAGTCGAGAATCACGGGGTCCATCAGGGGCGAGGATGGACCCACCGGCCCCTAAGAGAACGGGTAGGTGTACACACTCAGAAAGTTGGCTTTATGAGCTGTAATACACTCATCCCGAGCGGGAATCTCCACGAGCACGGTATCTCCCCAACAACAGTCTGCCTTCCCTCTATTGATGTACGTTATAGAGCTAATATATCGACTTACAGGCTCGCGGTGCCCTGACTTCGAGGAGGGTCTCTCGACCCTAAAAATGGAGGTCATCACAAAAGGTCCCGAAATGCACTCCTTGACACTAGGGGAGTGGCCACTTCGCCTCGAGATAAAAGCGAAGGAGATGAGCCCGCAACTTCTTAGAAAGCAGAAGTGGAAATATTTGTCATCCTTGGGGAAATCCGAGGAAAGAAGAAAAAGGGGGTTGCCTCCCTAGGAAAGAGTGAGAACGAAGGGAAACAGACCTCACTAAGGGTTTTGAACATAAGATGGAATCTATAAATGAAGAAACGAGTATTTATAAAAGCATCATGGGTATATTGAAGGAAGCCAACTCCCATAGTCAATGCTAAAATCTGCAAGAACGGTGCGCGTAATGCGCCTTAATACCTTGTATCCGTTGGCAAGGGAACTAGAGGATGCAGGGGTTAAGAACCGTTTCTTATCATTTCTTGTCTTCTTCACTCTAATAAACGCGGAGACTATCTGTATACCGCGAATCCGGGGTCTGATTTCCATAGAGCCATCTCGCGGCCATGCCCCTCGAAGCTCGAAGCCCGAAGCCAAGGTCGAGACTCATCCTCGAGGTTTGATATATATCGGTTTGAAGTATATCATATTCTGACAAGTACAGCAAATTGCGGCAGGCGAGAGGGGAGTTCCCAAGGCATGCGGCTTAACTTGACATGGTTGGTCTATCCGGGACCTATTTTCAAGATGTCATGTCTAGCCATCTTATCTCCATAACTTTACGGTTAATACGTTCTGTACCATAACGAGTTCCCCTCCTATATAAAGGGGATCCCCATTACTTTGTAGGCTCGGCTGATGTTACTCCATTTTTCTCCACAAGTGCAATAATATCTCTCTCTCTTTTTTCTTTCTAACTTGCTTGTTCTAATTGGCCCGAGGCCACCTTTATAATCATCGTTCTCTTACTTGTTCTTCATTATATAACTCAGTATTGTCCGTAAAGAGCCTTGTTTAGTTATATCCTCAACTGTTATCCCATCCCCGACTATCCCTAATAGCTCGAGCTCGACCCTGATATCGACCCCGAGGACCCCACCGACCAGACCTATACCCAGGCAGCAGGTCCTTCAGTTCGATTACTATCTTGTTATAGCTTACATTTCGTCATTAAACTCCATATTATTGACATCAACTGCTCTAACAACTAGCTCGAGAATAGATTACGTATTTTTAGAATCCTATTTACAAATTTAATTGTTGTTACCATTTTCACGGTAAACATATCTACAAGCCTCTACTGATGGATATATTGTGATCGGAATAGGGACCGACCTACTCATATCATACATACACATATACATAAGATGTACATAAAGTCCTAGACCCAGCAACTCTGAAGGGCATGGAGCTTACCAATCAAGTTGAACTCGGGAAACACCTAATGAGGAGGTCTACCCGTCTGTCTGTCTGAACCTGCTGTCACACCTCCCGAAAGGGAGTATAAAGGGGTTTTTTCCAACTTAAAGTGACAATCGAAATAGGATTATTTATTTGTTAAATTCAGAGTCGCCACTTGGGATAATTTATGGTGTCCCAAGTCACCGGTTCAAATCCTGCGTCGAGGAAAAGATTGACTCTGTATTATAGTCCGCGAATACAGAAATCCGGGTAAGGAATTCTGTTAACCCGGGAGAAGGTATTAGGCATTCCCGAGTTCCGTGGTTCTAGCACGGTCGCTCAACTATTATAATTGGCCTATTTACTTGATTTTAATACATGTTTTAACCTATGGTTCAATTTTAACTTTTTAACCGCTTTAATTAATTATTTTTTAGGAGAAATATTCAACGTCATCTAAAACACGTCTTGAACCACATCATATAAATGTACCCGTGGTCCATGTCACATTTTATCTAACGTTGTTGAGATTTGGATTTGGGTTACATAAATCCACACCCGAGTTTAGGAAAGTAATTTTTAAAATAGCACGCCTAAAGCAACTACGCACTTTCAACTTTGCGAGGGCCATGGAAATTCAACTAAATGGCACGCCTTGATTTTATTAAAGGAAAAAATATTTAACTACAAATGTTCATATTAAAAACTAATTTGAAATTAAGTATCACAACAATGTCACGGGAACCGTACCCGTAGCTATGATGATTTTATTACAGTGTCTAAAAGTAAACTACGAATGATTATGGTCTTAAATTATTTCAGCGCATCCCTTGGATTAACAAGCAATTCCATGTTTTTAATTTTCTTCCATTGGTAAAGACCTTATGTCAAATATCAAGCCACAAATAGCTTGGATGTATGAACTCATAGCCAAACAGTTTAAGACCAATCGACTTGAATAAATGACAAAACTCAAACATGGACAATTATAAAAGTGAAAACTACATATGGCACTGAGCCTTTAACAAGCTGGCAACAATTAAAAGAATTAGAACACTGAAGGAAAATAAATAGAGCTTGAAACAATTGATCTTAAAAATTCAATGAGAACTAAGAATGTTCAACAAAATAGAGAACTATAACAAAAATTGGTGCCCAGAATCACTACGACCAAAGAAATATCCCTCGTGAAGAAACAATTAGACCTCCTGCATTGAATTATTCCTAAACTAAAACACTGCTATCATTACACTTCTACAAAACTTAATCAAATTTTTGTCCTACATGGCAAAGAGCAACGTTTGGTAAAAAAATGACAATTAGTTTGTAATTAGAAGCTTAACACGAAAGAATTTGAAATTACTATGGAGCTTAACAAGATCATATTTAGTATTACAAACAGAATCGAATGAGGAGAAAGGACAGAGAGACGGACCTTGAACTGTTTTCAATATATATCTATATCTCTTCCGTTTACAGTGAAATTGAAAGCTCTAACACACGAACTTGGACCAGAATGGAAAAACAGCAACAATAGTAATTTATGCTGTGAATCTTGAACCTCGGACAACAAACGGCGACGGATTCAAACCACCTCAAACGGACTCCATCTTAATCAAAAAAAATTTTTGATTAAAGAACTACTAATAGGGAATTAATCTGCTCCCTGTCGACTCGTCGAACCGGACCCGAACCGGAACTAACGAACGGACAATCTCGTCGGATCCGAATTCGAACCGGCGATTGACCTGCACCTCGAACCTCAGTTTCCCGTTTCCTACTCTGTTTTTCTGCTTCTGTGCGTGTGTTTTGAGTTTGTGCAGAAGAGAAGGCCGATTTTAGAGACGAGGATGTCTGGCGGAGATGGCGGCGAGGATGGTTCAGTGCGGCTGTGTGCGTTGAAGATGAGAAGCAACGACGATGGAGGGTTTTCTTGGTCAGGGAGGTGTTTTTGGTTGGTGTGCGGCTGGAAAGGGGTTGTGGAGGAGATGGAAGGCGAAGGGNGGGGGGGGGGGGGGGGGTCTCGATGGGTGTTCAAAATGGAGAAGAAGGAGCTAAAGCTGATGGGTGTCTCCTTGTGTATTTGTTGAAGAACGACGCTTCTTTTGCAGATTTTTAGGCGTTCTCCTTTTCTTTCTTTTTTGATTTTTTAAGTATTAATTTACAGGTAGAGTCTAGGTTTAGGTGTATTTTTATGTATTTTGCCCATTAGTCCCTGGATCATTTGTGTTAAGTCCTCAGGGTCTTCTTTATTTATTTTTTTTGTTCCAAAGAAGAGTCTAGAGGGGTCCCTAGGCTTAATGGACTAATCAAAATTGGGCCAAGAACTGGGCTCTGAAACTCTTAAAATTGTGATCCAACTCCTTAATTTGACTCCTTTTAAAATAAGATAAAAATACTACACCATCCAAAGCTAATCCTAATTAATTAAACTAAACATGAAACTATTTTTGTGTTTTCGAAATTATATAAAGATAAAAATAAGGTACCATTTTTATATTATGTTTTTAAAAAAATAGTTTATGAAAAACTAAAATATTTTTTGTGATTTTTATTTTTCTTGTAACAAAATAAAGTAAAAGAGTAAAAATGAGTTGAAATAGCTATATTAGGCCTAAATTAAATATTTTACGCTAAAATATATAAAATCTTCGGGAGGGTCAAAAATCACATTTCTACAGCTGCCCCTCTTTGACTGAAAACATGAAGAGTTTTCAGACAAAGAATGACTAGACAAGTTTTTTGACGGGACTCTAATTTGGAGGGACTAAAACTAAGAAAAGGGGAATGTGACCGACCCCTGGTATCTGAGCTACCTACATATCCTTGGCTATAAAGGAATCAAGCCAAATGTAGTTCAAAGGTGAGTGAGATGATGGAGTACCGAGGTGAAGAGCCAGTCGAGGTGCTGTTCCGCCGAGGTTCCGGTCCGCAGTCCTGTTATTACATCAAAAATCAAAACATGAAAAAGACTAGCTAAGCCTGTCAACTACGAGTTACAAGATTCCTATCTAAAAGTCTTCTAAAGCTTGATCTTGAGTCTTGAATGGTTCTTCATGCAGACTTTAGATTTGAACCTTGGCACTTGTTAGCTGCAGGTGATAGCTTGTTCTTCTACAGCTTTTGGATCAAGACCGGACATGTAGTCCTTGTGACTTCCATCATGTCTTAAGCAATTCACATCTTCCATCAACTTCTGCATTTGGATTAGCTTCTTGCTCTTCTCCTTTTTCTTTATTGTGACTAGCTTATGTTAATCACCTCGGACTGTTGACTTGCATTTTTGCTACGAGCTCCTTTTGTTGCTGACTTGAATTGTAATTTGAGCTGCTTTCCCTTTCTCCAGGTGGATACCTGATTGCTGAACTCAAATTGCACTTTGAGATGCTTTCCTTTTCTCCAAGTGGACGCCTGACTGCTGAAGTTGAACTGTATTCCCCTGCTCTCTAAGTGGGCTCCTGACTGCAGAACTTGAACGTATTCCCTTACTCTCCAAGTGGGCGCCTGACTTCAACAAAATAGACAAAACAAAGAAAATTTCTGCCCCTGTTTGGGTATCCGAGCACACATGTAAATGTAAAACGGATCACATTACCAAATGTCAATAAAAACTTGAAAGCTAAAACTTTAATTGTACTCCCTTGTTCTCCAGGCGGGCATCCTGATTGCTGCCTTGAAATGTATTCTCTGCTCTTTAGGCGGGCTCCTGACTGCTGACTTGAAATGTATTCCCTGCTCTCCAGGCGGGCTCCTGACTGCTGAACTCGAATGTATTCCCTGCTCTCCAGGCGGGCTCCTAACTGCTGACTTGAAATGTATTCCCTACTCTCTAGGCAGGCTCCTAACTGCTAATTTAAAATGTATTCCCTGCTCTCCAGGAGGGCTCCTGACTTCAACAAAATAAACAAAAATAAAGAAAATTTTCTGCCCGTTTGGGTATCTGGGTATACATGTAAGTGTAAAACGAATCACATTACCAACTAACAATAAGAACTTGAAAGATAAAATTTGAATTGTACTCCCTTGTTCTCCAGGCGGGCTCCTGACTGCTGACTTGAAATGTATTCCCTACTCTCCAGGCGGGCTCTGGATTGCTAGCTTGAAATGTATTCCCTGCTCTCCAGGCGGGCTCTGGATTGCTAGCTTGAAATGTATTCCCTGCTCTCCAGGCGGGCTACTGACTGCTGAACCTGAAATGTATTCCCTGCTCTCCAGGTGGGCTCCTGACTGCTAACTTGAATGTATTCCCTGCTCTCTAGGCGGGCTCTTGACTGCTGACTTGAAATGTATTCCCTGCTCTCTAGGAGGGCTCCTGACTGCTGACATGAAATGTATTCCCTGCTCTCCAGGTAGGCTCCTAACTTCAACAAAATAGACAAAACAAAGAAAACCTTTTGCCCCAGTTTGGGTATCCGAGCGCATATGTAAGTGTAAAACGAATCACATTACCAAATATCAATAAGAACTTGAAAGCTAAAACTTGAATTGTACTCCCTTGTTCTCCAGGCGGGCTCCTGACTGCTGACTTGAATGTATTCCCTGCTCTCCAAGCGGGCTCCTGACTGCTAAACTTGAATGTATTCCCTGCTCTCCAGGCGGTCTCCTGACTGCTGGCTTGAATGTATTCCCTACTCTCCAGGCGGGCTCCTGACTGCTGACTTGATTGTATTCCCTACTCTCCAGGCGGGCTCTTGACTGCTAACTTGAATGTATTCCCTGCTCTTCAGGAGGGCTCCTGACTTAAACAAAATAGATAAAACAAAGAAATTTTTTTGCCCCAGTTTGGTGGCTGGACACATATGTGAGTGTTAAACTGAATCATATTACCAAATATTACTAAGAATTTGAAAGCTAGGTCCCATTATCCAGGGTGGTCCTGACAATTCTTACCTAAACGACAATTTTAAATCTAAGTTATATCTTCTAAAGGTGTGACTTCCGCTAAATCTTGTTATCTAAGAGGATCTTAAAGCTACATACCATTATCCAAGAGGGTCCTGAAAACTCCTAACTACATCCTATCTTAAACATGCAAACTTTGAAACCAACTTATATTCCTTGGGGTAAATTTATGCTACTTATGATTGTTTCGATTTTTAAACTAGGTCCCATTTTACAGGAGGGTCCTGAAAACTCCTAATTGAATCTTATCTTAAACATGCAAACTTCAAAACCAACTTATATTCCTTTGTGGTACATTTATGATAGATTATGCTACTCATAATTGTTTTGAATTTTAAACTAGGCCACATTTTCCAGGAATGTCCTGAGAGTTTACGGTCAAACCTGTTTGGTGCTTGCTTTTCCTTGCGGAGGGTTTCTCCGAAACAAATGAAATTTTCTGCCCTTGTGTCAAATCAAAGAAAAATTTTGTCAGTTTAAAATGCGGTGGTTGGTTTGTGGCCTTGACTTTGAGGGCGGTTGCTCCTTCACTTCTCATGATAACCGATTTCCACTCGAAGATCTTGCTTGTTCCTTGGCTAATCACTTTCTCTGTTATCCTTATCATAGAAAATAACTCTTCTCCGTTCAGACCTAATACCCTCTATCTGTTGCATTACTCATGAACTGACATTTACCAACCTTTGTGTTTCACCGAAAATGCCTTTGATCCGTCCACCTAACACCCTCCATCTGTTGCGTCGTGCTCTTGTGTTGACATGTACTACACCTTTGTGTTTCTCAAGAATTCCAAAGCACGTTAATTGTCGTCCCCTTAGTGCACATGCTGCTCTTTCCTAACTTAAATCACTGGCCTTGGCCTTGATGTCTTTTGTTCCCTCACTTTTCACGATAATTTTGATTTCTGCTTGGAAGACCTTGCTCGTCATTGGTTAACCACTTTCTTTGTCAATCTTATCACAGAAAATACCTTTGATCCATTCACCTAACACCCTCTATCTGTTGCATTATCCATGAATTGATATATACCAAACCTTTGTATTTCACATGAATCCCAAGGCATGTTGATTGTTACCAACTCTGTGCGCACGTTGTTCTTTCCTAACTTATGCCACTTTGATGTGCTGGCCAGATCCCGTTTTGTGCAATTGAAAAGTTGGTGGCAAATTTTGAAGTCATTTCTCACTTATTTTGACCAAACAGACTCAGGAAGAGAAAGTAAACAAGACAAAAGGAATAGAGTAAAGGACAATAGAAAAGATGATTCCTAACGAGAAAACTACAAAGTAGAAACCTATCAGTTGTGGATACCAACTCTAATGACCATGACATGCACATGTGGCCTATTCTGTCAAGTAAGCCTGATGTTCAACTCTTGTTGTACCTTTAAACCGTGAAACTGGGCTTCAATGCTCTGATTATCCAATTTGATTCACAATCCTTATTGGACTTGTAGTGCCCGAAGGGTTTTCACCATTAAGCCTCTCTCATTATATTCTTTCTCTCAACTTATTGTTGCCTTACGGTGCCCGCGAGGGTTTTCACCAATAAGAGTCTCTCATTTTTAGATTTCTCTCAGCTCTCGTCGCCCTATGGTGCCCATGAGGGTTTTCACCAATAAGACTCTCTCATTTTTTATTATTTTTCTGCTTGGACCAGAGTGTTGCCCCTGATATGAATTACCTCTCCTTGCTTGACTTGGCATCTCTCGAAGACTGATCAGAAGGTCTTTCTTTGGACCGTGACGGGGGATTTTGGATAGGGTTAAAAAGAAAGGATATCAAAGGCTCAAAACAATTCACAGGGGCTCAAAATTACAACTTTCAGACTCAGATTTCTTACAACAACCACAACTTCTTTCCCAGTTTCTTGCTTGGGGACTTTTGGATTTTTATTTTGATGAGACCGAACCGTGAGGCTGCCTACGTATCCTTAAAAGGAATCAGGTCGAGCGTAGTTCATGACATAGGAATTACTTTGTTGTTGTGATTTTCTCTTTTCTCTTTCTTTTCTTTCTCATTTTTGCTTTCTTTTTCTGTTTTTGTTGTTTTTCTTCTTTTTTTTTCTTTTCATTCTTTTCTTTCTTTTTTTTTCTTTTTTTCTTTTTATTTTT